TCAGCAGAAGAACATCATGAAGCAAACAATTCTCAACTCCCAGAAATTGAACAACAGGTTTTGAAAGATGAACCACTTCAAGAAGATTACTTCAACTGGATTCCTGAATCTCCTCCTCATGATTCCAAGTCAAAATCCGTTTCTTCCATGTCATTGAACTTCGGATGAAAAAAACTTGAGCATGAACGACTCCCGATTCCACCATCGCTGGAAAATTCAAAATTTGGGCATTAATTTTCCATAACACAAGAAGAAAAAAATACGAATAAAATGCGTCTCGAGTTTTCTTTCTCAAAGATTCTTTTTTTTTAATTAATCAGAAATCTGTTTTCTTTTCTACGGAGGCCAGCGACATTTGGAAACACATTTTCAGGCGACAGAAAAAAAAAAGAAAACACCTCATCCAACTTCACATCACACCAGCGAAATACAAAATGAAAGCAGGGGAAAAAAAGCTCGCGGCATTCTTCCATCGATTGTTTCAAATTTTTCCTTCCCTTCAAGAAATCCCCTTTGCTTTTCACGACTAGTTGCAAGAAAGAAAAAAAAATGAATTCGCCGAAGATTACATCTTTTGTGCTTGGCAGAAAAAAATGAATTTGATATGACAATGCTTAAACTTTTCTCTCCACAAAAAAAAAAGCTGCGTCAAGAAAATATGCGGTGAAGGGAGCAGCAAAAATTTCGCGCAGTCTTCAGCCTTTTACCGCTGATCTTGCGCTGAAAAGTTGTAGAAGAAAAACGAACAGTAAGTGTGATTATGCGTTTCGTGTATGAAAAGGTGTTTACCGAAAGGACCTGCTTAAAAGTTCTTCGTAATTAACATATTCCTCGCAATTTTCCTGGCTAATCTGAATTACTGCAATAATATATTTATATATATTTTTTTAATTAAGGGCATCATTTACTGGATCCTAAGGATTGGGAAACACCTGATCACCTTTTTTGACTTAGAAATAACACTTGAGCTCAAATAACACGCTGAATATTTTTAGTAACTATAGCATGAAGATTTTTTCAACAAACCATAATTGAAGCACTGTATTCATTTGAGTACAATTGATATACATTTTTTCTCAAAATTAAGAGTTGAAAAATGCGTATCATGACGTGTATACATTATAAAAAAGGTTTTCAAAATTCAAGTGCACATGTCACTCAATTTTAATAGAAAATTCTGGACAAACTTCAAACCTAAAAATAATGGGAACAAGCGAAAATTTGTTGGATTGAGGTTCAATTTATGCCGAAATAACAATTTGGATTCTCTTAATTATGGAATATTGCAGTTTTAGAGTCACTAAAAATAGGGTTTGCATCGTATTCAGGAAAAGAATGTTTTCCTAATTTTAGACTAAAAAACCTTCATGCCCGTATTACATTACTTGAGGACACGTGGTACTATATAGTAAATATAATGAATAAATTGATATATATTGAGGCAAAATTACTGAAAATTCTCATCGCAAGTATAAACAACAAGCGCCATTAATATTTTACGACAAAATAACCACATCCAAGTTGTGACTCACATCAACAGAAATGGGAAATCTAAAATAAAAATCAGATTTCGGTTTCTTCAAACCATTACTAAAATATTTTCAGAAATACTTCGACCCCTACAAATATTTCCAGCTCACGGCAAGGAAAATTCATTCCAAACCGTCGGATTCACGCCATCATTAAAATATCATATACTTTAAGCTGTTAATCAAGTTAAGATTAATATAATTGCGACAAGAACAGCCCAAATGACCTCTTGAAAAATCCGCAGGACAAAAGCCTCATCCACAAGTACTCATTAACAACTCGGAAACTGGGACTTCTCCGGTGCGTATAAAATATTCACGTGACGTCTGATATAAAAAAAAAGAAAAAAACAGAAAAAATGTCTCACCTCGCCAACAGAAAAATAAAACAGAAACACCTGCGTGAGATCATAATCACCAGCCACGTAAGAATGCGATCCAACCGAGGTTCCAACGGGCAAACGAAACCTTCGCGCAAAAAAAATCATGATTCCGACATAAAACATTTTTCTCATCGATATTTAAGAGATAAACGACCAAAAGTCGATGATCCCGAAAGAATTCCAACCTTCAAATGAACGCCATCTTTCTCATCATTGTCCCCAACACGAAGGAGAAAAAAACTGGCCCGCGAAATCGTCGCTTTGACAATAAATGGTTGAATCAGAAGAAAAAAAAAATCAGCATTACCTCTCACAAAATTCCCAGTCACTCATCAATCATTCAAACATTGATCAAGGGCAAATTCGAGAGAATCATACAAAGCTCATCCATCGCGGGTTTTTTGTTCTCTTCCTTTTTTTTTTTTTTGTCCACGGAGATTCAAAATCACATTTCAAGACGTCTGTCATTCAGTCAACATCAATGTCCGCGAAAAAAGAACATCCAGTTTTCATCTTTAAAACTTCAATAATCCATCGGCCAGAATCTATGCATGCTCAACTTTTTTTTATCTTAAAAAAGGGACACTGAAAACTGAAAGGAATTTTCAAAAATCCCAAAGGCTTCGACGATTGTTGAAAGAAAAAATAAATAACGTGAACACCGTGACGACGTCAAGATCAAAAAAATCTCCGAAAGTCCGAAATTTAAAACTTAAAAGCGTCAATATTCATCATTCAACAAAAAAAAAGGAAAACTAACGACTTCAAACTTGCGTGACGTTCCTTAAGGTGCTTGCTCCACTTCGCAAGGATGTTCGAGAGCCATTCAGGTCGACGGCCTGGTGGTGCAACTGTTGCTGCTGCAAAGCTACCACCCTGGTGGGCTTGGGCGCCACTGGTGGCGGCGGTCCGCGGTGCTGGGCCACGACGGTACCATAGACACCATTGTTGAGCCAAGGGTCGTAGGCTGCGATATCCGAGCCCTGAGGATTGATGGAAATAAATAAAATATTGATGAATCAACACTCAAATGCAATTGCAAGGAAGGTTGATTGTGACAATTCAAATGGGGAAATCATCAATAGAATGTCAAGTATTCCTTACCCAAGTGGGGAAAACCTAGCAAATAATTTGTTACAGGTATTGCTGCACATAACAGTTATGCATTCAAAACGCGTTTGTTATGCATAACCGTTATGCCCAGCTTCTTCTGAAAGGCCTTTCTTTTTTTCTTCCCAAGTGTGCACCATTATGGTGCACACTTGAGATATGCATGTATTTCCACACAGTGACCCTGCTGTGCACCTGAAGTGTACCAAACAAGAAGAAGACGTGTACGTATAGGGGTTACACGTGGTTAACACACAAGTGTGGTCCTAATGAGTCCCAGTGTAAACACTGTTTATTCAATGTGGTTCCAATGTCAGTCACGTAAACACACTCTGAGCTGTTACGTCACATTTGCGCACCAAATGTAGCCCTGGAATGGTAGCAAAATTTCATCTACAGAGGTGCATGCTTGTAACCCTAGAATAGCCCATGTGCACCAGTTTTGACCCCAGTGTGCACCAGTTGTTGGGTCACGCAAAGAATAGCTCCCCACTTGGGTTGTGTAAGTTACACTCAAAGTTTTGGAGACAAAGAGTCAACTCAGCATAAAATGATACAGACAACGCTCTTCACATTGCATTTCAAGGGACCAGCAAAAAAATTGGACCTGAGCTGGTCTTGACTTGGGGAAGTTTCAAGTTAGAGAGGAGTTGAGCAAGCAATACAAGGATTTTTGCTGTGAGAAACATATGAAAGAAATGCAGAAACTTGTGAATGATAATATTCTGGGCCTTAAATTGCTTCTTAAATGAGTTGAAAGGATGATGAACCTGGAAGCAGGGGTTCACTTGCCCAATTAGTCTTTCACTTTCTTTCAAAACACAACAAAGTACTTCTTTATTGATTTTCTTGTTCCTTTGTCAAAAAATAACAGCCAAAATGTTTCAAAAAATTTAAGTTACAAAGGCTTCAGAGGAAAAGCATTCAAGTTAGGGAGGTTTTTAATGCATTGTTTGTATGGGGATTCAGATGGGGACTTGAAACAAATTTGACTCAGGGAGGTATGTGACTTAAGGAGGTTCAACTATAATAAAAAAGGATCCTTCAAGTAGAATACCATAACAGGGAAGCAGACCATAGCAGAAATCAGCCTGGGGCAAGGCCAGAAATTCCTTTAGGGTTTTGATTTAGATGACTTGAAAAGCATTTCATTCACTCAAGTATCACATGCACCTTTTTTTCTCAAGATTGAGATGAAAAAGGTCTTGTGTGAAATAGATGGGAATTCATATTTAAAAGTTTTAGAATTTTAGGTGCTGTACATTACATTTTATTCTAATGGAAAATTTTGCACCAATTTCAATAAAAAAAACTTACTTCAATGGAAATAAGTGAAACTTGGTTGATTTCAGGACCAAATCCAAGTTTGGGCATCATTATTTTTGAACACCTGCAGTTTCAGAGTCACTAAAATAGGGTGCATATCCTACTTAAGGATAGAATTTCACAAAAAAATTAAATTGAAAACCCCTGGTTTACTTACTCAAGAGGTCATGGTACTCAAGTAAATGCAGTACAATATTTCAAATAGTCCAAACAAGTGTTTCAGAAACACACAAGGGCTCCAAAAACTTTAAACCCTGTCTCTCAAGATATTGGCTTATACCTCTCTGCTTGAAAGCAAAAATGTACTGACTTGATGATAAAAAGGGGGAAAGAGCTTTGATTTTTTGTTGTTCCTGACCTCGAGTCCAGTGATGGAAAATTATTGTTCAATGTTTAGAGGCCTGTGATTGGCCTAGAAATGGTAATCGAAAATGCTGCAGCACCAGTTTTGATTAGAGGGGAAACTTTTCCAGTTTTCCCAGAAGTGCGTTTTATTTTCATCACATACCTGCGTTGAAGAGAGTCCGTCATCGAAGGAGTAACTGTTGGAGTATCCGTTGTTATTCGGCATATGGCCTCCAGGGGGCGTTCGAGAGCGAACCATGGACTGCCTGCGCTCGTGTTCATCCAACAAAGCACTTGCTGGGATGTACTGAGGACTGTGATCGGATCCTGCCAAGGATGTCAGACATATTGAACCTGTACTAGCATTCACTCCGTTGCTGCCTGAAACAGTTGGCAGCGGCGTTTTCATGTAATCCCCATTCACTCCACTTGCTCCACCTGGCGAAGGAAGAAGATGTTTAAGATTAGTATTTCCTCCCTCTTTGATTCATGAGGTCACGCTAAGTATCAAGACTTTTGCCGTTGTCGCACAGGTGTCGCTTGAACCTTTCAAGATATGCTTCACATGCGCGAGGACTTATTCATATCTGATGATTGTGGTTCAGCTATTTTATTCTTCCTTGTAAAGTTTCATTATATGCATTAAAACATTTTTCTCATGCTGTATTCGAATCCTAGGTTTACCCTACCAATTCATGTCGACCCAAAATTAATTTAAGTTTGGGCAAAAATATACAGTATAAGACAATATTTTTAAGTATTTGATCAGGTCTAATTCGTCTAAATAAAACTGCGTGTTTTAGAACAAACTCATTACCATCAGATCATTCCCTAAATCTTTGCTGGGATGTTCATTTCTAGTTTTCTACATAATACAATGAAAATGAAACTACACAATACTAGCATGAATTGAGCAGTTCAGGGAACAAAAATGCTATAGATACTAAAATTATGGAATCTCATCGTCAAAGCAAAGCCATTGGAACCAAGAAAATAATTTTGATGCAACAAAATATTTATTAAAAAGTAGCCCATTCAACATAATGGCTATTGTGCAGGAACCTAAACAAGGACTTTGTTGTAAGCGATTATTCATTAAAATAAGAATCTACTGATGTACAGTACTGTATATGCATTTTATAAATTAATTTTACTTCCCTATTTTTGTACAGGAATTCATTACAGAAGTGGGCATATATGGAAGAGTCTTCAGAAATGTTTGTCTCATATGACAAAAACATTGAAGCAAAAGAAAACAATTATGAATTTCCTCAAATTTTCACAATTTCATAAATTATTTTTCTTCATGCATAATGTAGCAGAAGAGCAAACTTTTCAATCACTGTATATCCAAGGAAATTTGCACAATTCAGATGTGAGTTATATCTGCAATCATATATGGCCCCATGTGCCTTTTCATTTCTTTTGATTTTCACAGGTGATCTTATTGTGTAAGTGAGTTCAATTAGGTAGGCTCAAGTTTTTTATTTCTTGTTTCAGGCTAATAGGTGGAGTTTATTGGGGGGAGTGATTCAGGCGACACCTGCACAACACTGCAGGAAGCATTGTCAGCCCACATTGAGTGATTACATAACCGCTCAAAACCGTAATGAATGTGCCTTACCTTTCTCAGCAGAAGTCCCAGCATTCTTGGAGGAAACAGACGCCCGGGAGTGCGTTTTCGTTCGTCAGTCGGGTTACCGTTTGTGGTCTTTTGAGCGTGTGCGGTGTGGTTACGGGTCGGTAAGGCACTTAGGGTCAAGCCTTAAATATTTCCGCAGTCTGCCGTCGAACGGCAAACCCCCGGGTTGCGCAGAACCCTCGTGACCCGCAATGGAAGGCGGCGGCAGAGCGATGGCCGCCACATTCGACAACGGCGACCATTCGCCGTCGTACGCCCGGAGCGCAAAGTAGTAGACGCGACCTCTAGCCAGACCATCGCCACGCACGAAAGCGTCAGCTTCCTGCTGAGTTCCCGCCTCTTCAGGAGATGGCGCTGCCGTCAAAATGTTCCCTTCGGACAGGAACCGGTTCTGGTCCATTACTACGTCTCTGTTGGTGCTGTACCTTATCTCGTACAAGGAAGCTGGAGAAAGAAACAAAAACGCGCATAAATAAATTGCAAGGTTTCTTTGCTGTCGGGGGAAATGGGTTACAAACCTTTGCCGATTTTGTAGTCGCCGCCGGGGGCAGTCCAACGAATCGTGACCCTGTCGTACTGGGGCCAGGCGGCGGCTCTCAAGTCCGTAACCCGATTCGGCGGGTAAATGTCCCCCTTCGGGCCCGCGTGCAATTTCAAAGCTCGTCCCTCAGCCACGCGCTGGAACGGACCAGTGGAGCTCAACGGGGGATCCACAGGCTGACTTCCGCCACAGCAAAACGGGAATTCTGCAGGACGAAAATAATAAATGAAGAGAATTACGTCTCGGGAAAATGTCTTTTTTTTTGCAACGTTCTCCTTCCTTCAACAAAATTTGAAGAGGGAGAGAGCAAACAAAAGAACACAATTCTTGCAGAAATTTCAGCAGCTTTCCTGAGCCAAGTCCGGTTGCTCACTCGAAAAAACTATACAGTATAGGAAAGAAAATTGTGTCCTGCGAAAAGTTTTTTTTTCATAAATACTTCTTCAAAATAATTCCTTTTTCTCGTGACGGTTTCCTTTCTCCAACAAAATTTAAAGAGGCGGAGAGAACAAAAGGAACAAATCTGGCAAAAATAACAACAGAAATTGCAGCTTTCACCGGGAAAGTCTGTTTTTTTTTTCAAATTGAAGTTGAAAGAAATGAATATCAGCGATTTACCCAAAAACTGTTTTTTTGCTTTGTGACATAAAAATTAAAGATTTTTTTATTCTTTTTTTCGACTATACCAGGATTTTGCGATTAAATACTTTTCTATAAGAAAGGAAATTTTACTGCCTTGTAACGTTTTCATTCGTCAAAAAAATTTGAAGAGGGATAAAAACGATAAAATTATTCTTGAAAAAAAAAAAAAAAGAAACTGAATCTTTTTTTAGCGAAGTCCGGTTTTTTTTTTCGAAATACAGTACATATATATATATATATATACATGAAATTGGAAAGGAAATTTCGAGAAGGTTAACTTCATCAGGATTCTTGAAACGAAAAAGAAAAACACGTCATTCATACCAAAAACTCGTACAGTAAGAGGAAATCAAATCCGACGTTCATTTATTACTTATCATTCGTGAATCCTGCCAAAAACTGAGTAAAAAAATACGCCCAGAAAATGCTCCGTTCCGTGCTGACATTTTCCTGCTTCCAAAAAAATTTAGAAAGCTAAAATTAATCAAGTGTTAACTATCTGTTCCGAAATTTCAACCAAGGTTCACCAACTCAACTCTCTACAATTTGAAGAAGAATAAAAAAAAACAATGCGCTGTATTTTTCATGATTCGCAAACCTCAAAAATAGTGATTTAAATTTCTATCTCACCAATAGTGTCTTCATTCGGCTGACTGCTGGAAAAGCTGAACCTTCGTCCCCTGCGGGCATCACTGGGAGAAATATATTTCGCCAGAGATTCATTGTCATCCGCCACAACTGTCACCAAATAAGTCGCATCGTCTGGCAAAAAGTGCGTGAAGTGACCGCTATAAATGGCGTCTCCTTTCCTGATGTCCGGATCTGAAAAAAGAAAAAAAATCCAAATTCCGGTTAATTAAATTCCCATGTGTTTCATGAACCGAAAAAAATAAGATAAAAATTTGGGCTATCTAAATTAAGATGGAGAAATCTGACGGTCAAACTTTGTGACCTGAGTTGGAAATTGAAAGGAAAAAAAGAGGGAGAATCACGGAATCATCCGCAAAATAAATAAGACATTGTTTTCGTTTCCTGAAATTTGATTACTTCGGAACAACCGGTATTTTTAAAGTTTCGATAAACTTCTTCTCTTTTTAATTCCCAAATTTTCCCATTCATCTTTCAATAAGTCTGTCCAGAATTATATACGGCATTTATTATAAAAAGTCAAACATCAGTCATAATAAATTTAAAATGCCATGAAAAAGGTGCATAAAAATCGTTCCATAAATGACTCAAGATTTATTTGCTCATCATTTAATTTATTTATTCCCAAATCGAGCATGTCATTGAGACAAGAATTTCGTTGTATGCAATACTACTCATCATCACCCATGCCGCAAATAGAATATCATTGCAAATAAAATATTTGTGCAATCTAAATTTGCGGCACGAAATAAATAAATCTGAGGATGAACGAGAATTCATGACCTTACTCGAAACTTCACAGGGGAAAAAATAGAATTGCAGAAGCATCCGCAAAATGAAAATGAAACCTTTTTATTTCCTGAAAATTGATTACCAGGGAACTACCGACAATTGAAAAAAAATGGGCGGACTTCTTCTGTTTTCAATGCCAAAACTTTTTTTAAAGTCTAACCGAAATTATAAACTGTAATAAAAAAATTTTAATATCAGCCAGGGATATACGATTAAAATGACACAAAAAATTGAACGAATGACGAATTGTTTTACTCTTTATTCGCAAACCCAGGAAAGGCAAGTCATTGAAACGAGAAATTCGCTGCATACACAATACAACAATGAATACTGCACTCACCTCCCATGCCGTCATCAAACAGCGGAACTGTGACAGTGTCGTTGAGGCCAGACAACCCGACACCGGAAGCGGATCTTCGTTTGACAACAGCGTACACGTGGGCGTCGACGATGGCCAGGCCGCCACGATTAAGCTCCGCGTAAATGATGAGTGGCAACACTTCGGGTCGGGGGCCAGAGGATCCCGGGGATCCCGTGCGCTTGGGTCGCTCGTCCCAGCTAGTCCAGGTGGTCAGGGATATGGCGTCCCTGCCCTCGGGGGACGTTTGTCCACGCACTTCAACTACAACGGGGCTCTGGGAGACGAGGTCCACGCGGAAGGTCCACTTTCCTTTCTGCAATTTTAATCCATCAAATGAATATGCACAATAAAATTGAAAATTTGTACCGTAGGAAAATGATCATGAAGAAAAGTCTAATGTTGTTTTCAAAACTTGAAATTTTAAGAAAATTTAAGGAAAAAACTCTTTAGGATTACTTCAGTTTCATAATGATCAATTTTATTATGCTGAATGTAATTTAAAAAGAAGTGTTTGGGTTGATTGCGTTTTTTGCTTGTAAGTATTAAAATATGCACAATAAAATTGAAAATTTTGTATCGTAGGAAAATGATCATAATAAAGAAAAGTCTAATGTTATTTTCAAAACTCGAAATTTAAAGAAAATTAAAGGAAAAAACTCGTTTCATAATCACGAATTTTATGCTGAATATAATTCAAGATGAAGTGTTCGGGTTTATTGTGTTTTTTGCTTGTAAGTATTCGGAACAGATTACATATTTTTTTCAGTTTTAAATTGACGGAAATCATGTTCCACAAGGCAAAAATGTTACATAACAAATGCTATTTCAATTCCGTTCATAACGAAACTTTTTTGAAGTCCCAAACGCTTTGTTCTAACAAGATTTTACTGAAAAATATATTTTGCGCATCTACCGTCAAACCAATTTAAGTCAAATTCCAATGAAATATTTTTCAAAATTAACTTTTAACGTTTTTGAGTTGGGAAAATACTGCCTTGGTTGATCGAAGGAATTAAATTTTTCACCTCGCAATTGAATTTTCTCAATGCTCAAAAATATCATACCTATAAAGGCTAGATTTCTGATAGATTCATTGCCTACGAAAAAAAATAACTAGAAATATTTTCGAAATTAAATCAAACGGACTTGAAACTCAAAAACTGATTTACAGAAAAATGATGGAGTGTTACGATTTTAATATAATTTTACTGCGTATCAGAGCCAGATGTACGATAAATCGACAATTCCTCTGCCGTACAGTTGATTTGAAAAAGCGTAAAATTTTTAATTGACCTGTCAAGCATCAAGTTACCGTTTCAATACTGTATATTCTGAAATAAAACAATGCAAGAAAACGAAAGTTCAGTCGGCCCCGAGAATAATGGCTTTATAATGCATTATATTCCACTCTGGAGCGGAACATGTCTGGAAGGTACTATTCTTGAATGGATTGAAATTACTTCAAAGTTAATATAATGGGTAGCTGACTGCTGCTGGCTTGGATTATGCATGGAAGGTTTCCCATTGAGTAAAGAGAAAACAAGATCTCATTGAAAAATAAAACCGAGCTTATATTCATAGCTTGTGTTCGCAAAAAAATTCAGCTGAACTTGAATTATTTTGGGCTCTGGTTGATCAACCATTTTAGTACCTTTGCTCAGAAATAAATAATAGGAGACGAAATATAGCATCCTTTATTTTATTTTTATCACATACATTGTTTTCTAGCAATATTTTGAGCTACTTTCATCGATTGAGTTTTTATATAGGAAAGTAGAATTTTTTCAACAACGAAGCATTTAGTGCCGTAAAAAGTTTGGTTTGAAACGAAAATTCGTTAAAACGGAATGAAAATATCACTGTGGCTAATTGGACAAGGACCAAAACAAATTCCTCGGAACTGAATTCCACTGTATAACGTTTTATGGAAGATTGAGTGGTACTCAAATAAATAAATTTAATTAAACAATTTTCGCACAAAAAAAAGAGAATAATGGTGAACTAAATTAACCTGAAGCGTTTAGGACGTCTTTATGAATGAAAAATCGTTAAAACGAAATTAAAAAAAGCATTGGGGCTTTTGGACAAAGGACCAAGAACAAATTCGTCGTATAAGCCTTAATTCTTTGTAACTAAATATTCCACTGTACAACGTTTTTATGGAAGGGTATGTGTTACCCAAATAAATTCGGAAAATTTAAATCATTTTCACACACACAAAAAATGAAAATTAGAAAAAAAAACTGGAATAGTACCTGAAGAGGGTCCTGTAGCACAGTGATGAAATCCGCAATGTACTCCAGCGGGGAATTCTCGAAATCCCTAAAGATTGACCCCGTAGGACCCGCGAGCTCAGTTGACCTCGGTCCATGCTGGTGTTTATAAAACACGGTCATTCGCAGGGGCGGACGAACGCCGGAATCTATCTGGAATTCCCCGGATGCCGCACTTCCTTGTCCTCTCGGCTTCAGCTCAGCTTGATAGATCTATACATAAAATAAAAAATATATAAAAGATGGACGTGATGATAATAAATTAGTTCACTTCCCTCCTCCCTCAGGGGTTTTTTTCCAGATCATTAAGAATGTGTGTTGTGAAGTGGGCTTGTCGCCGGGAGAACACGGCGTTTGACAAGATCACGGGGGATCATTTTATTTTTATTTTATTCAGTTTTAAGAGTTCTGTGCCCCGGGGCAAGCAATCGATCAAAAAATGATTCTAGCTCCGTCGAGGAAATAAATATGCAAATCGCATGACTGCTGAGGGAATAAAAAGCCGGGTGATTCCGGTATATTCAAATTTTTAGAACCTCTCACATCAGCACGTCCGGTGGATCCCATACGGCTTTTTAACTCGTGGTACGCTTTTAGTACTGATGGAAAAGTTGCTAAAAGGTAGGCGGAATAGCCAATATAAACAACATTCTTGAGCCTCTTCAAGTCGAAATTAAAAGCAATATAAAATATTAAACTAGAAAAAAGTTTCTAGGAATATGGCCCAATTTTTCGCAGGTCAAACAAAGAAAATTATGCCCAGATTCAATTATTAGAATTGTTTTTGTATTGCTCATATGGATAACCTGCATTTAGGAAGTTTTGTAATTTCCAGTAAATTCTATTTTTTTCTTTCACCGGCAGGTCCAACAGTATCAGACATTTTTGTAATTTTTTTCGTGAATGGGGGGACTTCTTATCTGCCAAAAACCTGAAATTAAACCAGATTTTTCCAACTTAAGTGTCCCACTGAATCTTGCAAACTTGTTCATATTCATCTCATTTTCATAATACTGTATAATACTTGATGGCAAATAAATTCAAGACAAATTTAAAAGGAGTCACTGAATATTCTGACTTAGCAAGTCTTCAGGTTAGAAAAAATCAGCATTTCTGCACGAGCAAAAAAGAAAAAAAAACGCGAGAGTAAAATCAATGGTCCTCTGGTCTTCAAACTTGAAAGCAAGGGAAAATTTTACCCATATAGTCACTCAAATTTTTTTGAAAAATCATATCATGTCACATTTTTGATGCTATTCTCTTTAATTGGTCCCCAGAATAATATCTCAAAGATTTCAAGAGATTACTGAGTTACTGAGGTTTGAAAAATGAAAGCCTTGAGTTCGGGAGGTCTGAATTCAATTTAAATTCAACACAGGCTTATTTTCGTCCCAAAGAGGTTCAAGTCGGCAAACGAAGGTCCAACAGATGGGTTCTCATAGTTCCACACACACAAACAAAATCACAAAAATATGCCCTTTTTCCTTTCTTCTTACCTTGGCAGTTCCTTGAGGCTGAAGAATGCTTTCGTAGGCATTAACGATATCAATCATGGAAGCCGGGGATTCAGAGCCTCTGGTTCTGTCTTGGAGCTCAAAAACCTTGCCTCCAGTGCGTCGGGCCAGGGCCTGGATTTCGGCAAAGGGCGACTCGGGATACACGATGGCGTGGACCCGGATCCGCTTCCGGAGCAATTCCCGTTCCACGTTGTTGAGCTGGTCCCCGATCCCGCGTTCTTGGGCCACCACGATTATTTCACTTCCGGCGACTGCCGACGGGTGCGAATCTTGTTCCAGAAGCTGTAATGGAAGTACACAATCGATGTATATGCATTCAAGAAGCCATTGAAAAAAACATGAATATTAATTTGCTGTATTTTTTAAAGCCTGAGGTTAAAACGCACTGAATTATCAAAATGAATCAAATTTGTAGATAACATCATATTCAATTTTGTATGGCTCATATATTGGAATCCGTGGCAAAATGATGTCTTGAGCGTCCTTTTCTCCCTTTTCCGAGAAATTTTACCAGATTTTTTTTTACTATGTCCTCGATTTAGTGCCACAAAATGTCCCGAGACTCATCGTGGCACTAAATCGGGGTTTGACTGTACAGTATATTCTTTTTTTTAATGAAGGAAAGTAAAAAGACAACGCAACAATTTCTGCATGGATTGATCAAATCTCATTCGTGCAAAAGAAAGAAAAAGAAAGACTGATGAAGAATTTAAGAATTGAGTCCTCTCATTGAAAAATTAATTCGTTCCACAGGGACTTCCGTTATGCGAAAAATGGTTTCCATTGAGAAAAAAAAAAAACATTGAACCAGCTCCGAAACGTCACGGAACACCATTAAAACCCCTGCTAATTGTAAAAGTTTTCGGTAAAATGTTGCGGGCAAAAACATTTTTTATTATAAAACATATAGAATTGAGTCCCTTAATTAAAAAAAATTAATTCGTTCCAGAGCGAATTTCGGCACGTGAAACATGGCTTTCCTTGAGATAAAATTTAAAACTTTAATCGAGTCGTAAAAGTCACGGCATATCTATCAAAATCCAGTTTATTTCAACAAGTTTTCAGCTTGAAATTGTGGACCTGAAATTTATTCAATAAAAAAAAAGAAATTATCCCAAACCCTTTTGTAATTTTTTTTTATGGATCTTCATCAAATTTTCTAAAATTTTTGAGGAAAATGTTGCGAAAGTGAGAGAAAATGCTCGAAAAATTGCCGCTACTCATTTATAAATAATTTTTTCAAAATGTACGAAAAATAAGTTTGGAAAAAAAAACGTCATGCTACATCTTTCAGAAAATGTTCATCAGAAACTTTAAAATTTTTTTTCGCAAAATCACGAGATTAAAAATGTAAAAGAAAGATTGTCAAATGCTCCATCATGCAGCTCATCATCGTCACACAGAAAATCCCTCGCAGTCACCGGAACCATCCTAATTATTCCGACTACCTTCATCATAATTCCATCAACCTGCCAAGCAATTAGAAGACATGAACGGATTCGAATCAGTATCCCTCTCATAATTTCTTTTCTTTTCCATTGAAAAGATTATATATACTGTATATAATTTTTTTTCTTTTCATCATCAGCATTGAAACCAGTCAAGCCTTAATTTCTCCTCCGGGCAAAGTGTCACGTTCGAGATCTAGCGCGGCGTTGCGGCGCATGTCAGTACTGGGATTCGGTTCCGTGCTACTGGCCACGATTCCGGGTCTAATTGTCGACCATGGAATTTTAATTGCCCGAATCGCATTACATCTCTCTTCACGATGAGCGCAGTGACGCTATGACGAACTAATTGCCAACCAGGAGCAGGGAATCGAATCTTTGTAAGTATGAACGGTATGCCTTCTGCTTCATCGTTCAGAAGAATCAGGAGAGGTATATTTCACACTTGGGAAACTCTTGGATCTTTCTTAAATGCTTTGTGAAAACGAAAACAATTTGAGAATAATTTTCGTGAAAAAACGAAATCGCTTGAAACGTCCCCCTCAGATAATATTTCTTGAATTAATCATAAAACTTCAAGATAACGTGTTGATAAATTAAGAGAATGCTTTCAAAAATCTTCGAATATTTTTCTCAATTGATCTTTTCAAAATTTAGACGACATTTTCGTGTAAATACGAAAACGCTTGAAAAGACCCCTTCGAAGAACAATTTTTTATTATTCATCAAACTCTAGGAGAACACGTTGATGAATTAATAAAATATTTGTAAAAGTCTTCGTGAATCTTCCACGAAGAATTTTCTTTAATTCATAAAAAGTTGTAGTGAAAGTACGAGAATGCTGGAAAAGTCCTTCACAAAGAGCATTTCTTGGATTATTTGTCAAAATTCGGAATAAAATGTTGCACAAGTAAAAGAACACCCGGAAAGTCCTCCTTAACGTACTTCCAAAATTATTTTCTCTATGTGCAAGAATATATTTCGAAAGTATGAGAAGGTCCACTAAGTCTTTTTTTTAATTCCGAGTCAAAATTTAGAAGAAAATCTCGAGAAGCTAAAAAAAATGTTTCTGGAAGTCGTCGTGCATCTTCTTCTAAAAGTTTTTCCTCAAAATTCAGAATAAATTTTTGCGAAAACAAAATAACAGTTACTCACGGAAAATCTCTCTCAAATTATTTGTCAAAATTTAGAAGAAAATTTTTCCAAAGCACGCGAATTCTAGGGAATGTCCACTGGATTTTTTTCAAAATTCAGGGGAAAAAGAAGCATAACTAAGAAAAATTTAGCGGAAATTCTCTCATTCCTTCCACAAAATTTTCAAAATATTTTAAAAGCACAAGAAAGTTGAGAAAAGCCCCGCTCCACGGTTCTTTTTAAATTATGTGTCAATTTAAAAAAGGTTTCGGAAGTACAAGAACGCCAAAGAAAATCCTTCAAAAAAATTTTCAATTAATTTTCAAAATTTATAAGCAAATTTTGGAGAAGTACTAGGATGCAAAAAGAAAATTGAACCTGAAACCGTGAGTTGTATTTCAAACCGCTGAACAAGAAGTAAAATTTCAAGATTCCAAGAAATCAAATTTCAAAGTGGTTCTATAGTAGGCTAAAATCTATAAAAAATTAAAATCAGCCCAGAAACAAAAATACAGTACTGATTCAAAACATTCCACGCATAACCCATCAAAACAATTAAGCTTCGAACACTAACTGCAGTTTAAAAGGTACTCCCGAAAATACGGATAAGAGGAGGCTCGCAATGCTCTTAATCACGAGATTATATGTTCATCCAGTAAATCCTTCATAAGTTGCTTTTCAAGTTATTTGTGTCAAATTACATCTGTATCATGAGTTGGAGTATACGAAGGTCGTAAGGTGTCACTTGAAGTCCCGAGGGATTTATTCCTTCAAGTGCAACAGTGAGTAAAAAATTGATTTAATCTCACATTTTAGTAAACGTTTAAGAAGTCAAAATCACACGCTCGAAAAAAAATACCTCAATAATTGATCAATTCTTAATATATTATCTTTCAAAGACGACATTTCAAAATCGTTCACTTTTAAACCTACAAATAATCAAAACATTGGGAGTTTCCGAATTCAAAAATAATAATAATTTATTCATAAACCCTTCCTTAAAAGTCAATCATGAATCCCATGATTGACAAGCGTTCAAGAAAACATTAAAATGACTTCTCAAATGCTTTCCAGGCACTTATCTCTTCGATTAAATCAGGCGTGTCAATACATTGATGGACGGACGGAACACTTACAAAACAATCGACAAGAGATGAATCAAATGCCAACTTGAATTCAATATTGACAGTTGATAAGCTCAACTGTTCTAAAAAAATGAAACTGAAAGTTGACTCACAGCGTAAAATATTATATTCTTCATCGAATGTATTGAAGTAATTTAGAAATTGAAGAATATATCAACAGCCATAAGTAATATTATTGAAAGTAAATTTCAATTCAAAAATATCACAAGAGAAAAAATTACCATGAGATGAATAAAAATCGAATAATAAAAATTAATAAATGTACTTTTATCAACAGCTCTGTGGATCGATTTTGTTCCTAAATTGTATCCACTTCTTTAAACTTTATTTCGTCATCGTCTTCGAGAATCAGGAAATGAACTCAAAAAAAATAGAAGAGTTAAATATAAAAATAAAATAAAATAAACTGACGATAAATAAACAATTAAAATCAAAATATAGTTCGCCAATGTGAACAGCTCCATTTTGTTCCTATCAATTGAATTCAATTCTTTACAATTTAAATCGTCGTCTTCATCAGACAGGAAGTTGAAGGTTCAAAAAAATAAAAAAAATAAAAGATATGAAAATTGAAAATAAAATGTACTGACATGAACAGCTCTGCGGATCCCGCAGGTGACACAGCGAGAGTCGTCCTCGGACGGGTAGCGGCTGATGAGCGAGGCGGAAGAGATCGGCATGCGATTGACGGGTTGCGGCGCCCGATCGATATCCACGTCGGAGTTGAAGTGCACGAGTCCGACGGACGCCGAACGGGCGGCGATCCGCGTGGCGTCGCCCACGCTGCCGGCCGCCACCCGGCCCTCCATCCCGAGGAGCTCCAGGATTCGGTAAGTGGCGCCTCGGACGTCCGACCAACGGCTCTGAAATACATTACATCATTTTTAAAAATAATGTCACTTCGCAAATAATAAAAAACTCATTTAGATTGATTATTACCGATTTCCCATGCTTGTCACAATTTCCGATCAGTTCAGAGACACCGAAAAAAGGTATTTACATTGAAGGTTCTGCTGATGAATTCCCATTTTAAAATGACTGATGAACTTCAAATTATTTTCCCCATTTTTCAACACCTTATACTGTAGTAAAAATTGACTATTTTTACAAAGATTTTCTCTCCATTACAATTTTTTTGATCCCACGCGGTTTTCTCACCATGTTCTCTACAGCGATTTTTTTCTGGTCCCTTCAATTTATTTGTAGAGAGGGTCCACCTGTATACAACTTTCATTCAATAAAATTAATTTAAAAATACCCCCATTCATCCAGAAAAAAAAAATACTCGAGGTTCCGCAATTCGTCTGCCATTTTAGAACGAAGGACGTGAATTTAAAAATATTTTTTCAAAAGTCAGTATGATTATTGTCACTAAAAAAAATAATTTCGACAGAAGGATTACGATTTAAATAATATTTCTCGAGAGATTCAAGTCTCAAGGGTTTCCATCAGTAAGCTCATTAAATTTATAAATATAACATCCCTTCAAACACAAAAACGAATTTTTAGTTATCCGATCTTTTTCAGATCCCTCGAAAATCGTCGTAACGAAACTTCGTCATTAATATTATTATATTTTCCCGCCTGAAAGACAAAGGAAGGAAGTCGAGGAAATGATCCTGACTATATAGATCCCGACATCAGCAGCCTATAATCAATCGAAAAAATATATAAATTAAAACAAAAATAAATAAGCAGAGCACAGCACAGCAGTGAAGCAGCTTTTCCACCTCGTCCAATCTGTCCATCAACACGTAATTGATCGTCGACAATCTACCATCCGTGTAACAGATAGGCCATCCCAGGGCCCCAATCTGTTCCCTTCAAGTACAGTACAGTACTTTCAACAGTACACCCGGAAACTAAGGAATATATACTTAGTTCCTCTTCAATAGCCTCAACGTGTGACGTCTGAGCAAACGCAATAAAATAAAATAAAAAAGATGGAGTCGGTATATGACGGGTACTGGGCTCCTCTGTTACTATCGCTTCCACGGCAGTAAAAATCTCGCACAATTGAAATGACGAACAATAAATAAATAAAATAATCACAAAATAACGTTCACGAGCATCTGGTTCGGGCCGCAATAAAATCATCAATGACGTAAAGTAATTTGTTTGCTTCGTCCCCGGGATAATTCAAGAGCTATTAAATTGCTTTCCGCTTTTAAAAAAAGACGTCTTACTTGAAAAAATGGCGTCATTTATTTATTGTACAGTACCTCTAAGGTACATTTTTTTGGCATTTTCAAGTCAAAACCAATTCGTTTCCTTTCTGTAATGATGAGCTAAGGCATATAATGCCAAGAGTACATTATTGCAATTTTAATAATCCCACTCATTCTTGCCTTTGAAAAGACAAATTTCAGAATGCTAATTTCGAATTAGCACACTTCTTTAATCGAGGTGACGAACAACTGTGGTTTTGATCGATAATTTTACATTGTTCAACCTTCCGATTTCAAAATGTTGATTTACTTTTGCGGTAACTAAAACCTTTTTGACTCTGTAACCTCACTCATTCAAAATTTCCAAGGCCTTTGTGCTGTTAAACTGGGGCGTAGTTTTTGATCAAATTTTACTGATAACAGGTGCTAAATGTTGCCTTAATCCTTTTCACAAAGGATAAGGAAACTTCCTGGAGGTAAGTTACGACTAATGCACTTGGTTTTTTTTTAAATAATTCGGCAGAAATTTTTTTTTTCATGATGAAACAACAAAAATCACGCAAACATTTCCTCAATCAAAATTTAATTTGACTCAGAGAAGTTTTACTGCAGAAAGTTTGTGAGTGACCCATAAGTAAATTCTAAGGAGTTTCAACTTCATCACTTAATTTCTCGTCGACAATCAAGTGTATTCTCAGTTTCTTCCCAAAAGTTCCCTGAGTCTAGAAAAAAATTGGTCAAGTTCCTTTGAATATGACTCAGAAAAGTTCTACTGCAGAAAGTTTGTGAGTGACCCCAAATAAATTTGATCAACATCATCACTCAATTTTACGACGACAATAAAATTTATTGTCACTCGAAAATCCCCTCAATTCAAGATTTTCGGACTCCGTTTGAATCCAACTCAGTAAAGATTAACTGCAGAAAGTTTGTGAGTAGCCCCAAAAGAAATTCGAAGTTCAACTTCAATACTCAACTTCACCCCGACAATCAAGTGTATTCCCACTCAAATATCCCCTTGAATTCAAGATTTTCGGAGTGCCTTTGAATGTGACTCAGTAAACCTTTTACGTAAAAAAATTTTGAGTGACCCCAAATAAATTCGCAGGATGTTCCAACTCCCATCACTCAATTTCACGCCGACAATCAACTGCATTTAATTGCATTAAAATGGTCGAGCGGGGAAAAGAAAGCGCGTTGTAAATTTTCCCCATGCTGTCTCTCAACAATTGAATAAAAAAAAAATATTGAAACAATAAATTCGTGAATTGACGAAAAAGAGAAGAAGAAAAAAATAAATACAAGTTCGGATATTATCCAAGTACTCACTGCATTCTTCATGGAAGCAGTCCAGTCCAGACAGAAGACGACTTTCCTGGGACTGCGTTTGCGATAGGAGAACACCGGGGTTTTGTGCGTCTGGCCAACAACCGGCGTCACTCTGGAATTTCACAACATTAGGCGGTCGTAAAAAATAAAATTTACAAAAAAAAATAAAAGGCGACTCGAGGGATAAAAACGGTTCATTTAACTCACCCTTGGAAGTCGGGATGCGCTTTGATGACTTCCCAAGTGCTCTTCCCACCGCATAACACATTCTGCTTCGTCGGTGCTGTTCTGTCATGCGTCTCGGCATCGCAAAACTGGTCCACCTGAGGTGATGAGAAGAAAAGACAAAGGAAATGAGTACAAGCCATGAAATGAGCCTTCTAAAGAAGGAAAAAAATTTCGACCTAACACATTGAATCGTGTACCGAATTGCCAACTTGAAAAATTAAAAAAAAAAAATCGGACTATAAACGTCTCTGTGCTACAAGAAAATTTCATTCAAATTTTGGCCATTTGTACACAGTTATCAATAAAGCAAGGCAAGAAACCAAACGAGTGATGTACGTCATAGCTTGCTTTTACTTTGTTCGTGTCGGTGATTTTACAATCAATGTATATGCAATACAGTACTCGGTTTAAAATGGCACGAATCGAATCGAAGCATTCGGCAAAAAGGGTGGCATTATTTGTATTTAAAAAAAAAACTGTCGTTTCCTCATCTCGCAGAAACGTTTCAGGTGAGAGGGACACAATTTTATTATCCGAAGAAAATATTTGAAATCTCCAAGGACTGCTTCACAATAATTCATTATTCGGTTAAAAATGACACGAATTAAATCCCGACATTCCGCAGAAATATTAGTGTCATCTTTTTAAAATTCGTTTTCTCCACATATGTCGCAGAAAAAGTTTCAGGTCAACACCCTCACCCTCTGCAGACACAGTTAAAATCATCGGAAATATTTTTAAAAACCTCCGAAAGGGACTTGTTCATGCGATGGAAATTATTCATAGAAATCACGCGCGCCCGTGATTTATTTCCGCAGAACGGATGCACGAGACTGTGAAATTCCCGCGCTTTCTTCGCGCAATATATAAAAATAATTCGGGACTGCCTGAAGGCAATCATTCGGCCTCCAGATGTCCGACGATGAGAAGTACCAATCTGCTGGTGGGGGGAGGATTTTCAAGAAACTTTGCTTTAAAAATAAAATAAAAGTTATATATACTCACGCTTTGCAGCTGGTTGGCGTTCATCACCGACGACTTCACTCTTTGGTTCGCCGCCACGTCCAAAGGGCGGAACACGCAGTTATCTCCTCCGCCGCTGCAAAACCTGAATAAAACGCCAAATAAATACCGTAAATAATAAAAAAATATTTCACCAAATCAAGTCTCGATTCCACCAGATGTTACAGCCAAAAAAAAAACAACACTCGATCTCCTTCCGAAAGTCAAAGAAACAATCGCATCATCAGTGGATCCCCTCCAGGGGTTTTTCTCCACAGCTCGCGCAAATTTGCGCCAAACGAGCCATGAAAACAGAAACACGACGTCGCAGCTAAATAAGCTGTGCAAAATTATGAGTGGGGGCCGAAAAGAAAGAAAATTGATGCCATATGAGGGGGCCAAAAAAAATATATATTGAAAGCGTCGATGGTGAAGGATATGCTTCGTGGAGCAGAAATTCGCCGAAATTGGAAAGCTCGCGCATTTCATTTCCACCCGCGAAAAGCACTCAAGGCTTTCGATTCATGAAGCTATTGTTCGAATTATTCCGCCAAGAAAAATAATATAACGGTGTGTAGGAAAATAATTTCAGAAGATTTAGAAGATAAGGCCAAAGCGCATGAAAATTACTCACTCATTTTGCCAGAAATTCAAACTACGCATTTTATTGAAGTCAGAAAAAAGGAAGAACTATCGAATTTCTGGACAACCTATTTTAAAAATTAATATTCCTTTGTGACATCCGGTAGTGACATCTACCCACATCACTAAAAAAAAATTTTCACTCTGGTGGACGAAGTCCAGAAATTCATTGAATGTACGAAAACGTTCTTGTGATCTATATAAAGAAGATATAAAATAGAATCTCGTTACAACGAAGCGTTTGTTACCTTAAAATTAAAGCTTCGTTGTAAACAAAAATTCGTCAAAACGAGATTAAAATATGCTGTTGGCTTTTTGACAGAGATCGAAAAAAAAATCGTTGTAAGCATTAATGAATTTCAACAAAATTCGTTATACCGATATTTCACAATACAACTTGAAGCAGGATAAAGCCACAAACCTTGCTTTCAGGACTAAATTAAAAAATAAATGAAAATTTGCACAGAAACTCATTTGCTTCTGAACAAATAATTTGTAAAACTAGAGGACAAGAGAAGGCCGATTCAATTGAAAATATTTTAGTCTGAAATTAATGCATAAATTCAAACTTAGACGTCCATATATATTACCTACGATTGACATCCCCTCACTTTGTTCAGAAAACTTCTCACTTTACAATAAAAAAATGAGTAGAAGAAATGGAGAAAATGTCTCACTGCACGAACATTTTTTGAAACTCTTCATGAGCTAATGAAAGCTTTGTAATTTTCTCACAAAAACACCATCATTTTTATAATTGATGAGTTCCAATCGCCTCCGCAAAAACATTCCCGTGGAAAGACGTAATTTATTGCGAGCTAAGTTGATCTTCTTTGGTTGTGCATCAAACGCTACTTCAAATGGCAACACCATTCGTTGCAAAATTTTAAAAATCCCTGAAATAAAAAAGAGAATAAATGGCCAAGTAGAAGAATGTAATCAGCCTTCATTTCGGAATCCATTCGGATCATTCGACACGGTGCAATAACGCGTTGATTCCGATTTCCCCTCCCCCATCATGTTGAACATCCTGTGCCATGTAAAGGGAAGGTTGAAAAAAGCCGATGAACCGTAAAACACAGCTGCTGATCAGAGTGCCAATTTTCCTCGCTTCGTTTGGCACGCCGAAGTCATCGAATGCGGAACCACGGCATGCGTGTGCTTCCGAACGGAAACAAAATCTTTGATTTCTATTCCTCATCCTTCCCCCTTATTCCATACAAAAAAAAATATTTCTTGCTGCTTTCTCACCCGTGTTTTAGTTGGTCCTGAGGCATTTGAGCGCGCCCCAAAAGGGCACATCACGAAACAGCGCGCGGATTTAAAAAAAAAAAATCGACGTAAAAATTTTCAATCCACAGAAAAAAATAATTTGGACTGAGAAGGGGTATAAAGTGAAAAGTTCCAAAATTCCTTCGAAAATTACACGTTTGCTGCTTTCCCACGCATTTTTTATTCGGTTGTCAGACATTTTAGCGCATCCCAAAAGAGCGCATCACAAAACAGCGCGCGGCTTGAAAAAAGTGCAAGTGAAAATTTTCAAAGCACGAAAAAAAAAAATTACTTGGACTGAGCGAGTGATGAAGTGAAAAATAAAAAAAATTTCTTAAAAAATCAAAATTTTTGCTGCTTCCCCACGCGTGTTTTATGCAGTTCTGAGACATATGAGTGCGTCTCAAAAGGGCGCATCACAAAACAGCGCGTGGCTGGCAAAAAAAAAAGCCAGTGAAAATTTTCACTCTTTTCACAAGGAATCTCATGATGAATTATTCATTACAAGCAATTATATTTGTGAGTTTCTGCTGTGCTGCATCTAAACAAGGTTATATATGAATCTCAATACAACGAAATTTTTTTAATGCAGACTTTTTTTCAAGTCTTCGCGATTTTGCTGTGATGAGGCAATAGTTATAAATTTCTTAGTTACTTTTTCCAATGATGATTTCTCAATAAATACACTTTAGAAAACCTCGCAAAAAATTCTGCGCAGTAAACCAAACATTTAAATAGATTTCTCTATATTTTCAATCGAAAACCAGCTGAGTCGGAAAAGTCCTCGAAATTCCCCATTTTTGACAACAAAATGCAAATATCCATAATTTAATTCAAAACTCAGATAAACAAGCCTCTTTTCGCAGGGCCATCGCCAAGGTCAAAAATTAAATTGTGTAGGGAAAAGAGCAGGATTTTTTTTTTTTTTACAAATAGAGCGGAGAATTCTGCGGTACACGAAGGGCTAACCCAAATACTTCCTTATTCATGAGAAGAACATTACGGCCAGGATGACTTCATGAATGACAAGAAGCCTTCTTTCTACACGAAAGTACAGAGAAAAACCCAGTGCGATGAAGGGCCGGATGATCCCGTGAAATCGTCCCATAAAACTTTCAGATACCCTAGAGGAATTCGTTTTTTTTTTTGCACGCAACAACAACGCATAAACAAAGCACAACATAAGCAACAACAACAAAAAAAGGCCAGCAACAAACGATATTTTCCTGCAGAAAATGTAAGCCTTTGACAGAAAGCCTCAAGTGGTACCTTGCCCTCGGGAAAATAGTCCTTCCATCAGCACTTGCATTTTTTATATTTTATGGGACACCTGGGCTTTTTTATATATAATTTTTAAAACCTGAATTATTCGGAAAACCGAATAATGTGAAGGTTCAGAATATTTCTTCTTTTCTTTTGGTGAGAATTTAGATCATGAAAAATGTCCCTCAAGAGAAAATTTCCGGCATTACAAATACTGCATTCCAGTTAATAATTTTAGAAAACTTCTGTAAGTCATCTTATTGCAGATGAAGAAGACCTGAAAAAAAATTATCATTAATTCAGTCAGATTGTTCCTGTGTATGCATGATTATTTTGTACGAGTTCTTCGAGTAGGAAAAAAAAATCAGACTTTTGTGCTTTTGAGTACAGTAATATTTTTACACATACATTTTTGAACGTCATTTTTTGCAAATGAAGAAGCTTCAAAAATAATTCATCAGCAATAATTCAGGCGGATTTCGTCTGCGTATGTATGATTATTCTGAAAAAGTTCTTCGAGTGATAAAAAAAATTCGAGTTGTGTTCTCTTGAAAAATATTTTCATTAATCAATTCCACAAATCTGTTTTTGATTCAAGTCGGAACTGCTTTCTGAGATCGATTGGGCGTCAATTATATTTTTGATTCTATCATTTTATTTTTATTTTGATACGCTTTTCCATCTCAAGGTAACACTGAACAGAATTCCGACCTTCATAAAATTTTACAAACGTTAGAAAAAGCCTAATCTCTCGACTTCGTGGTCTGCGAAAATGATCCGACTTTGAGCAGGTAAAAAACCCAAAAGATGCCCTGAGGCCAACGAAAAGAAAAAAAGTACCAGTGCTGAGTCCCCCCTCTCCAAGGTGTTATTTGGTACTGGGTTCGTCCAGCTATCAGGGATAATCGCCGACATAATGCGCTGCCCAGAGTCCCTCATTGATCCCCTTGAAATTACCCCGGAATAAACACAGGGTCGGAAAGAGGGGTTGTACTTGTCAGACAAGTGTTTCCTTGTTTTCTCCCTAGACTCTTCCCTCCAAACCCCTGTGGGTTCTCTCTCTCGAAAACCCCGCTTCCTGAATAATTACCCTCGTTCGCCCTCAATTACTCCCGCGTTGATGTCGTGAACGAGCTCCTCAAAATTACCAGGAGCACCCATGAACCCAAGCAGGGAAGATTCATAGGAATTAAGCCCGAAAAGGAGGGGACCTGGACTGAAAAAAAAAACAAAACGAAAAAACATGAATTCATGAGCACAGTGCACTTCATCAAAGGCGATTTAATCCCACTTTAAAACACAAATTCATCCGGGGGAACTAAACTACTAGTGGTAACGACCCGATGATCGTTGCCCTCAAGTCAAATTTATCGGTATTCAATCCCTTTTCCATCCAGATGACAGCTCAGTTGAATTATTTTTTTCTTAGGCGAAAAACAAAATCCTAGATATATTTTTCGAAGCAATTATTGCAAGCAAAAAAAAAAAACCAAGGGAAGAAATGATGTGGAAATGTGGATGACACTTGAAAGCAAATTAATTAACCTCGAATACTAATTTGACAACGCAAAAAAAGGCACAGGATCTTCACGAAAAAAAAGGTATCAAATGCAGATTTTGAAATTTTCGCGTGAAAAAATATCTGATATTTAGAGTTCGATTGCATTTTTATGACGAGCACAGAAAACTTGAATGAATTATACCCCGAGGGGAATTTTCCACGGGCTATTTTTCCACATGGTTTGAAGATGCCAAAATAAAATTTGTCTCCGTTACGCGTGGGTTTAAATTTCTCGCCAACATTCAGATATACTAAGGACAGTCTCTTCTTCATATTCCGAGACGACTTCTCTGATTTTTAAAAATTCGAAATGAAGAGAAGGATGAAAATTCCTTCAAATGAAAATGCAGCTTTCCTTTCTTCGTTGGATAAGATTTTCGAAATTAATCACAGAACTGCTGTGATCACTTTCGAGTTTCGTAAGTGAAAATACGTATTTTGTGTAAAAACTTGAAAGAAAATGCGCGAACTGGGAATTAAAAAAAACTTTTTTTCCATGGGATCAATTCCAGTTGCGGAAGGAAATTTGTTCTTTCAGAAAAATATACCCCGAAAATTTGATTCATCACAGTAAAAGTTAATTCGCTTTCCCCAAGTGACTCGTACTAAACTCTGGGTACATTAATCCTTAAAGGGATGGATTAATCTGCCTCTCATATAAGCTCAGCTGATCCGATGCATCGGATTAGTCCACTTCATCACACACACATCAAATGTGGACAAACGTTCAGCGGCTTCTCGAGACTGAGACAAAGAGGATTCCGACTTCCATCAAATCATTGTGTCATGTAAACAAATGATTCTTCATCAACAGCATTTCACCAAAATTAACTAGACTATAAAACACACGATAATACTGCATAACGCTTGTATATACAGTAAAGTAATGTGGTCCAGAACATTATTGAAAGACTGTACAATATATACTGTAGTATCATAATTTTTCGTAGTAGATAGATGAAACCAAAAATGATCGTTAGAATGACACGAAAAAAAATGAATTTCCCCTCTATACACATCAAAAGATATCATTCGAATTTGGACAAACACGCCGTCGAAATTTTCCTTCCATTTTCTCCCCCCAACATTGATCAAATCTATTTTTAGCGACGAAAATAAAATAAAAAAATACTGTATCGTGGAGGCTTTTCTACTCATTGCGACAGCGTGAAAAGGCAAGAAAAATGGGAGTAGTTATGGACCGACTCCATACAGAGTAAATCCCAAGGTTTGTTGATCCGGCCAAGAATTCCAGGAGCCGCGCCCGCGGAAAACGAGCTCGAAAACCCCTGAGTCATCTAATCCCCACATAGCGAGTAACGACTTCATCCGGGATCCTCGCAAAGTATGTCTCAAGAAAAGTTGCTGGGAAAAAGGCGATTTGTTTATTTATTTATTTTTCCGGCCAAAAACTTCGGACCTCATTTTCTTGGGAAATTATATGCAACGAAGTTTCCACACCTCGACGACGGCGACGCGCGAATATGTTTTTTTTTTTTTTTTGCTGGCATAAATTTATGCGCTCGACTGCCGGCAAATTTGTGCCTCCTAGATGACTTCTTTATTTTCGCGAACTCGTCGCTCGTAATTTGTAATCACAAGATTTTTTTCTATTTTTCCAGGGTATTTTATTTAAAGAATTCATGTTGCGGAGAAATCAGATTTCAAGATTTCATGATTATCACCAAGTTTAAAAAGGAAATAGGCAAATCGCAGAATTTGGTAGCGTGAAGAACTGTACATGATTGCAGGCAGAAATAACTTTTTGAAAATAATCCCTTCTTCATTCCTTTTTTAATAGAGAAACACAAGTGGTCTTGAATGAAGACCTTTGTTCATTTTAAAATTCCACGCAGAAGTTGCGTGTTGTGTAATTGAACGCTATAAAAAGTTCCTTCAATTGTTCGATTATGTAACGATTTTATCACATTATCTTGAAAAAGTCATGCGTTCGATTGATTGCAACAAAAAAAAAAACGAAAAATTGTTTCATATAGTGCGAAGTTCTGTAGAGAAATACAAGTCTTTTAATATTTATTAGCAAGCAAAAACAAAATCAAAGATCAGAATCAACTTTATTATGCAACGAGATATTTTTAAATAAGGTTAGGTCTTCAAATAAGGTAATCTTTTGTCAATTGAAAATCAAAATTATTCGTTGTACGAGTTTCGGAGAGCTGGTTCACTTGATTACGCACAATCAGAAATTTAAAAAAATACTGTACAATTTTTATTGTTTTCATAATTTCGAGAGTTCGTTCTTCGGAACAAGTCTCAGGTTTCGTTCATAATTGAATCAATAATTTTGTTTTGCTAAAATGTTAAATTCTCCAGCAAAGTGTCTCGATTTATTTATTATCAAATAACAATTATTCAGTTTATTGTTCGGCAAGATGTTCTCTGCCATGATTAGCTACTGTGTTTTCTTTTTTATGCTAAATTTAAAATCAGTGGTGAAACACGTAATTTCAAGTCAATCATTTCGCGAGTCCATTCTCCGAAACGCATCCCAGGTTCGATTAATCATTCCCATCGCACAGCGCAAATCCGCATCTTTCCCAGTGCAAAAATATCGCCCTCGATTTACTATTGCATGCAGAAAAATAAAGTCACAAAATTGGACTCATAATTCAGTTTCCAATTCGGCAGCCAAAGAACGAGCAACGAAGCGTCGCGACGAGTAACGACTTCATCCGGATATCCCCGGAAAGCCACGTCCCAAATGCACGTATCCAAACGGAAATGAAAACAACTTCCCCCCCCCCCCGACCAGCAGAACCCAACTTGAACTGGGGCCCTCTGGAAATAACTCATCCCGGCTGAATAAGAAAAAACTCCCCGAGGGCGACACCCAGTGATTCTTGGATCACGACTGCGATTCAAGAGGGGGCCCCTCTGAAGCTGAAATCAGCGCAACAAGCAGGGGCTAACGAGGAGATGGCGGTCATTTGATCATTATGTATTTTCGGGGACGGGATCCAATCAACGAAAATATTTGCCAGTACGAATCTACGTGATTGAGTGAAGTATATATGGTACAGTACAGTGAACTTTGTAAAGGAATAAGTCCATCAACTGAGGCACCCACTGTTGGGCATACACGCCAAAGTACAATAATAATTATAGTAGAGTAAAAACTTAATCTAAAAAACCACGTTTTCAAAAAGCAAAAAAAAACCTTAAACGTGGTGCGCATCTATTTCATTTGTATTTCACTTTGAAAGTTTCAGCTTGCTAGCTAGTTGGGAAGTGAGCAAAATTTGAGTTTCAAAATTTGATCCGGACAAACAAACAGGCAAGAAAGCGAGTTAATAAAAACGTGTTAAAATACTTTTTCTTGGAATTAAAGGAAATATTCCCCCCTCCTCAAAATTGCATCCTGGCACCATGGCATCTTTGACTTCAGAAGAGAACTTCTTCTGCTCTGATTGGAAAGTAAAACCTGTTAAAGGTTAAATATTATTGATAGTATATAAGCTGGATCCTTTATTTATTCTCATTAGATCAGTTCAGTTTGTCTGAGTTATTCCAAGTTATTCACATTATTCCTACTAGCCGGAGCTCATTGAGTTGTTATTTGTTATCCTTGTGTGAAATACACCTTATCCATTAAACTAGGGATTCCAAAGTGGAATTCCGGTCCTGTCCCGGACTGACTAACTTGTTTTATTGTCCAACTATCAAATACTTGACACTAACTTATATTGAAGACATTTGTCCTCAATACCAACTCAATGAAAATCCATCAAAATAAATGCAGTGGACCCTTGGTCAGCAAAATTTTGGTTTTGAGGAAAACTCCCTCAGTGGACAAACCAAAATGTGATCAACAAACTTTTTCCTAGGGAAAATCCCAAATATGAATTTACAAATTCTGATTTTAAGGCTGATATGTATGGTACAAACCAAGTGCAAATAATTCACCTACAACTTGGTGTGAAAATTCTTCACTTCTGGTACTGTACTCTAATACAGGTGGTACCTGACAATTTGACCCTAAACCATTGCTGGTCTAGGGTCAAATTGCAAAGTGGTTTAATTGTAAGACACTGTCAAATGGCATGTTTTCTACATGGCACTCATGTTTCTTCACAGGTCAAATTGTGCAGCAGAGGTCAAATAGAGAGTCAACCTCCTAGAAAATTTGACCAACAAATTGCGGGATGGTCACATTGCAGGAGGTCAAATTTCAAGGTACCACCTGTACTGAACATGTGATCTTGTGTTTCAAAATTTGTTTCAGCTACATTATTCCTATATGCTTTTCTGTGACAGAATTTTTTGCTTTTTTGTGTTTGGGGTTTTTTTTAAATTGTTAGGAAGGTCAATTTGATTTTCAATTGTAGCATTAGAAGAAGGAATTCCATTTTCACCTGTATCCTAAAATGTGTGCTTCTCTGAATGTGAAGCTTTTTTTATATTCATTTTCATCAGTACTACTTCCATATAACACTGTAAAAACATTCTGGGCTCATATGAGATGCAGCAAGAGCTTATTCTGATCATAGTTTATGGTCTTGAATTGTTTCTATTTAAGGTTCAATTGCTTTTTGGGTTCACGGAATGGATTAAATTCTTCCACATTGAAGTCTAATGAAAAATCAAATTTGGTCAAGAACTTTTTGGTTAAAAACTTCGGTTCAAGGTCAACTGTACAGTGTCAACATTGCAATGTCAACATCATAGGCAAAATGTGTTGATCCAATTGCACATGAATGTCTTCCTTTGAAAAGTGAGTGATGTTACCCCAGGTATAAAAATAAAATAAAGAAATTAGGAAATTGTTTTCTGCAGAATAAATTGCAATCAACACCCACAATCACAACTCCTTATCATCAAGACTCACGTTTCTCCTTCAATTTCCACATTGGAACAGCCAGACGGTTTCTTGGTTTCCTCTCCAGTCGTGGTTCCATCTCCATTATTGTTGTAGGCAGAGTAAAAGGACGGGTACAAGGGGTCTCCAGGGAACCCATTTTCCTCAAACACTCCGTACCGGTACTTTGCCCACTCTCGTACCATTATCATACCTATACAAACACAGATGAGAAAGGGAAACGAAATTATATTCTACTTCGAAATTGCGAGTCGTGCGCATTTTGCCGGAAAGTAGCAAATTGAGTTGCGTGCTGAAAGACGACGAATTCCAATGCGAATTTTAAAACATTTATTCGAAAAAAAAGAAAAAATCTGAAAACAACTTTGAAGTTCTGACTCTATTTCTCAATTGTAGCAGGAATTCCGTTTGCATTTATTTATTTTTATCGCGACTTTACTTAAATTTACGATCAAGTGGATGACATTATGCATTTTATTTCATAATTTTAATTCGAGCTTATGGACATAAGACATTTTTAATCATCCTCAACAGGACATCCATATTTTTTCTTTTGGCTTTTAAATCTATATTAAATTGATTCAGTTGAACCTCTTCAAGCCAAACTTTAAAAATACCTGCAAAAGAAATCAACTTGGGATGCTTTTGAGTTGAGGTAAGTACCATTTTTTCTGGGAATGAATTGAATAATTAGAAGAAGATGAAATTGGCAATCTTCTGGGCCTTAAACTACTGCGAAAATTAATTGATCGTACGCATGAACTTGAAGACAAGGGTTAATTTTCCAAATTCGTCAATCACCTCCGTTTGAAAAAAAGCATAAAATTACACATTTATTGCATTTCTCTTCCTTAGGTTTTCGAAGGAATAGCACTGGGCCTTGAAAAATTTGAGTTATAGAGGTTCAAGGGGGTCATATTTCAGGTATATTATAAATTATTACAAACGGAATTCAGCGAAGGAAAATACAAAAAATTCAGCATTATTTTTCTAGTGCGTCCAAACAGTTATTGTACTTCAAAATGTGAGTAATTCAATTACATATTTGTATAAGTACATCAAATAGTTCTGCCGTCAGAATATGTTGAGTAATATGCAGCAGGATATACGTTGAAATTTCTTCAGGTCTCTGGGGATATTTGCAGCATATATCGTATTTCTGAAGGAGAAACTGCAATTTCAATTGTGAAATTTCTTTCCTTTTCATCAGGCGGAAATTCGGGAGATACTTCTCTGATAGCTCACGCATCTTTTTTTTTTTCAACTCATTCGAAAATAAATAAATAAATGCTGATGAATGGCTTTTCCGGCATCGGAGAAATGTGCAAGTACTTTGGCGAAGTCTTCTGGGATTCGGGGCACATTTGCAGTTTTTCCGCACGAAATACGTTCGTCATCAGCGACGGATAAAAGGATAGGGAAAAAAACGAACTATTTCTGAGTAGCTTCGTATTATTCCTTGTCAAAAGCATTCTTCTATCGGGAAATTTGGCACAACAAAAATAAAGAAGATTCGCACTCGGACTTGATCAGATTACGACTGCGTTTCTGGAAATTCTGCACAAAAAAGTGGCTTTCGGCGGGTTGAATTAATTCAGCGCGGAACTTCGGATTATTTCGTGAGGAAAATCGCGACGAAGTTGAAATTATCGTTGATCCATTTTATATTTTAATCTAACCATGGATTAGTGGAGATTCTACTGAAAATGTTCCACCTCTTTTGGCGAATAATGTAGGGACAAATTCGCCAAATTTTTCTGTACATGTCATAGAATAATGTATTCCTTCGAATATGTAGCTGATGCACATTCTGCTTTTATCACTGAATCGCGCACTGATCGAATTAAAATAAATAAAATTTATAAAATTATTCGCATCATAATATCATAATTACTCAATTAAACCGCGCACATCAAAATTTACAGCGGGAAAAAGAGGGTCTTTCAATCATACGCTTGATATAAATTTAAAAAAGATTTTTAGAAGTTTAGGAGTGTATTTTACATTATTTTAACAGGAAATTTCTCATAAATAAGGAAAATAAAAGCGTATGGCAATGGAAATAATTGAAAATTAGTTGAATTCAGATTCAATTCGTGTCAAAATAAAATTTGGGATTTTCTCATTTTTCTAAAATCGTAGTTTTAGAGTCACTGAAAATGGGGTGAGCATCTTAACTTGCTGTGCGGAATTTTTTTCTCGACACCAGCGGCGGTGTCAATTTCCCTGAGAAGGGACAAATAGCTCGAGTTTACCAAAATTGGCGCGTCTCAGGACGCGCCCGGGGTTGTAAATTAATCCCCTTGGCGGGGAAACAGGCGGGATCAATTAACTCGCCGAAGTCGGCGCACCAACAATATCTTAACCCCCGGAACCGGGACAAAACAGTCGTCAAAAACG